GGATCCTGACAATTACTACAACGACAATGGCAACGCTTGTTTGCCGAAGTTGTAGAATGAAGAATTTCACTTCTCTTGCGAAGGTGGCAGCGACTGCACAAATCAGCCTTTTTTTTCTAAATAAAAAAGAAACAAAGAGCACCCTCTGATTACCGGCAGCAGCTCTCTTCAGAACTTACAGCAACAACAACAACAACAACAACAACAACAACAACAACAACAACAATAACAACAACAACAACAACAACAACAACAAACAACAACAACTTTGAATTTGAACGGCCACAAGCGTCTCATCTTCTGATCTGTCGAGCTGGTCTTTCTGTGCGACACAGCTGCGCATATCACACGCACACTTGCTTGTTTTGCAGGGACACATCATTCCATGGGCTATTTGTGACTACATTTTTGTATCACCTCGCCACGTATACAGGCCAATTGCTAAATCACACAGCCAATCTGCTAAATGGATCGCATAACGTTGGTTCCCACAGTGCTTGAAATTTCAGTAGGCTCATAGCAACGAAAATGGGAACATTGCTGTCTATGTCGCCATCTGTCTGAAAGAATATTCGAAAGGCAAAAGAATTAAGAAGAACTGCAGCGGCCACTTGGGGGTTCCGCATACGTACCGAACACTGCGAGCATTTTCTCGTCTTGGACCGTGAGAAAGGGCGGAGCATCGGAGCTGGCTTCGCAGCGGTAAGCGCCTGCACTCAGGGCACTCAGGTTTTTCAGGTAGAGGGACGAATAGTTTCCTTGCAGCCTCTGCTGGTGGGAAAGAATACTAAATGAGTGCCTGACCTAAATTGCAGTGAATTGGCCTTACTGACTCAACGATCATTCTTGTTTAATGTTCGTTCCGCAGGGTGGCAGCACCAACGACGAAAAAGCGGGTTCGAAGTTTGCTCAATATTTTGACACGAAATGATAAATCTGACGCGAGCAGAGGATAAGACACATAGATTCACACACATGATGAGTGCAATGAACGAAAGGAAAACACAGCTTATGAAAGAAGAAACAAACAGAAAACTGGTGCTTCGAACTTGTGTGCTCTACTGCAACACGCGTGGATGCCCTTGAAGATTTTTATAGGTCGCATATCTTGTGACACGTGCGCTGCTCTTTCAACTTTTTTGTTACGTTCATAAGTGTTCTGGTTATCAGAACCAACGTTGCGCGATGAAAACTTACTCTGGATCTTCAGCAACACACTACAGCTATAGAAACAACTGGTTGCATGCTGCATTATGTTTTTATTTATTTTTTATTTATATTTGGCAACATATGGGAAGGTAGGCTATGCTAGAGCCGGCTATCCCAACATAATGACAGTAAAGTACAAGACGCTGCATTATGTTCTCAATTTAACCGTGAAAGTGTGCTAGTTTTACATCTGTGATGGAACCTACACGATGAAAGAGATCCTCCAGGGAAGAAAAAGGGCAACTCTTAAGAAACTATAGAGGGGCATACCTATTCTTTGGAGCACACAGCAGGCGATACACGATAAGAAAGCATGACAAACGCTGGTCCTGTTCCCTTCTAGTGTATTGTCTGTTGTGCACTGCCCAAGAATGGATACTTTCCCGCCTTTCAAGTCTACAATAGAGGGAGCTTTCTGGCAATACGATGAGGGGGGAGGGGAGGGGGAGACTACTGCAGGGACGTACTCACAATTGTTTTTCGGGGAGGTCGTTAAACCACGTTCGTGCGTGCGTTCGTATGTTCATATATATAGGCATATAAAATTGAAAATTTCTTGAGGTCGAGGTGGGGTAAATGTATGACCCCCCCCCCCCCCCGCCTTAGTTACGCCAATAGTCCTTTGCCACACCTGGCGCCGCCTATTTGAGGAAGGCTCCATGTGAGCCGCATAGCAGTGTACTTACATCGACCGTCACTCCTTGCACGTTGAACATTTTTCCCGGTGGCCTGTTGCGAGGGATAAACGTGTAGAACACTTTGTCGTCCTTGAACCACTTGAAACTGTACAGGGGCAATCCGCCGAGGTTGTGAGCACAGTTGAGACGCACGGAACCGCCGAGGATTCCGATTGGTGGCTGGTCTATCGATATAGGCGTTTCTGCGTAGTGTGGATTGAAAACACACACATGTATAGGTATCACTCTAAGGATCACTGCAGCAGCATGGCTGTTCGATTGAGCTAGTTGGTGCAGAACTTAGGTTGTGTTCTTTCGGTGCCCCTTTGTGTCTCGTGTTCTCTGCATCTAGCCCCTCCTCTTTTTTTTTCATTAAAACCAGAGGCTGCAATGGCTGCCAAGGAACTGCATGGCCCATTTTATACATGAGTGTCGTGAAATTGGCGCTACTCTCAAAATTTATCAATATAGACGAGCCTGGAGCACAGCGACGATTATAACTCTACAGCCGATTTACACACTAAACTTACTTACTAAATTGTCACAAGCGGAATACGTTTGCTAAAGGGTTTGCTAGGTCAGGTTGGCGATAGTTAGAAAACTTATATATGACGTCTGATTTCCCTGAGACTTTTTGGTGGGCGTACCTTAAAATCACGTTCTTGCCACATTCACAGCGATGTCCGGTTAATTGGCTGGAACAGCTTTATTCAGGTCCTGCGGGACGCGCCTTAGCACGCAGCAGGCGACTCCCACTATGTACGGTGCACGCTTTCAAAGTTTCATCGCTGAGCACACAGTCGCGGCCCTAGTTATGACGCCGGAATTTCGACGGAGTTAAAATACAAACAACAATAGTGCGCCGAGAACTGGGTGTACTTTAAGGTCATAAGAGCAGTTCAAGGAAATATGGACGTGTTTACGACGCTGCCTGTAGTCCTTATTAGCTTGAAGAAACTAGTGACTTGACCACCCACCAGATCAGCATAAACGTATACATGTTTTTTTATTATTGTTCCCCCGCTGAAATGGTCAAGTCTGAAAAAAAAACATGATTCGCGATTGATGTGAAAATTGAAACCTAGCAGTGACATGCTTATTACAATGACCTGCCTTTCTTACCCGACTTTCCGGAGTGAAAGTGGAAATATACGCGGTTTTTGTACATTGCTCAGTCATGGCTATTCGGCCATGGTTACTATCAAAGACCTGCATGGGAATTGATCTGCATTTCACACAATGACAAGGCAGATCCATCTGAGTAATAGTACGGAGCTAACTTAACGCCTTTTTACACATTTAGGGGTGGGGGTCATTCCTCACCTTTCTTGCGCACATGCCTATGCCAATCAGTAATGCTCCGAACATCGTTTTCACTCACCTGCGACGACCAACCTCTTTTCAGCCACACCCACGTCGAACGTCGGTGCTTCAGCTGACACTTCGCAGCTATAATTTCCCGAGGCAGAGTGCTGTACGTCGTCAAGCACTGCTGTAGTGTCGTTGCTGCTTGCAACCTATGAGATAGATTCTCTATCACGACAAAGAACGACTCGTGTTTTATCGCAATAGTTTTTTTCTGTGAGCAAACTCATTAAAAGATTGTAACGCTTAAAGGTTCTCGGCATTTCTCGAGAGCATGCATATATATTACGCTTTTACTTGAGCTTGGTGCAAGCCTGTATCAACACCTTCTGTCTGCTTTCTCCCCCCCCCCCCTTTTTTTTCTAACGCTGGGTGGCAGGCCAGAAAATGGATTCGCGCCAACCTCTCAGCTTTTCTGCCCTACTAACATTTCCCTCTCAGTATCAATCTGAAAGTGACGTTATTTTCTCCGAAGTGATGCTTCATATTGTGTCTCGAATATCAGAATACTACCGGTGTTTAATATCACAAGCAAGTAAAACAGTTGAATCAAACCATTCCCACAATTTCTGTGACAACGCATTGAACGCGTGGGTTCAATAGCAAAAAAAAAGAGAAGAAGAACAAAACAAAAAGGGGTCCTTCTCCACAATAGTGTGACTTTGTCATGTTTGGTATAGTCAGTAAGTTATATATTAATATGTTGCAACTTGCAGTCCAGGTCTCTTTTTAGAAGTTTGTCTGTTACTACGATTTTTTGAATATGTTACACTTACCGAAGACTGCTTTCAGTAAAAATTAAAAAAAAAACCACAAGAGTATGAGATGATGTGTCTCTGTGAGAGAAATTTGTCTCAGTAAAACTACGATGAAAAGAATGGTTGTCTAATGATTTCAAAATATTGTGAAAAAACTAGGAAAGAAAAAAAAGCTCAGGTAGTTTCACGCAATGAAATCCACTAGACAGCGAAGATGTAACCATGCGTGTGTAGATGTGAGGTAGACTGAGACGGTTTATAGTCTCACTTCGAGCATAATCACCATCGTTCACCATCAGCATCATACTCCGGTGCATCATCATCATTACAGTTCATTTATTCCGTTTTATTCACTCCTTCCTCTTGTTAAATATCCTGCGTGTCACTCACTAATACACATATAAAAAGTACTGGTTCATACAAACTGATATGGTAAGCTTTTATCACATACCACTCACGCATGAGGGAAAACTGCTATCTACAGGGTTAGTAGCTTTGTTGACTTTTAGAGCTACACTTCTTAAAGGGATGTAATAATGCAAGCTAAGTGCTCTGACAAGCCCAGACGAAAAAAAAAGTGAGAGCGCATAGTATCGGAGGAGGGGAAGCAAAGAAAATATGTGGAAGGACAGGAAACTTGGCCAGTCTTTAGACCAGCTGGCTACCCTGTGCTGAGGAAAGGGGTGAGGGGAATAAAAGATGATAGAAAAAAAATATTGCAAAGAGAGAGAGAGAGAAAATAAAAAAATAGCGAAAGAGGAAAGACAAAACCAAAGAGAATAAGACAATAAAGTCTGTCTCTGAGGCCAGTTGTCCGCAAAAAGCGTAGCAAAGCTTTCAAAGCCTTCTGGGCTGAGGATGGACTCGGCCAATGACCCAGAATCTTTCGCTTCGATAAAGAGCGATCATCTACTCTATCTAGAGCTTTGGTAAGTTCTTGTCTTGGCGCGTTCAAATGGGTACACTCGCACAGAAGATGATGGGCGATCGTTTCTTCGCAGCTGCAGTAATTGCATGCAGATGTGCTGGCCATTCCAATAAGAAAGGAGTATGCGCTCGTGAAGGCCACGCCTAGCCACAGACGGCATAGAAGAGTCTCCTCAGCTTGAGATATTCCTGAGGAAAGAGGAAGCTTGAGAATAGTATTGTTTCTTCATAATCTTACAAGGAAACGTATATTTGTGGATATTTACGATGTTTACATGCGATGGCAATGGCTGACACACTGGCGAGCTGGGACTGATCTCTATTCACTTCGTAGTCTTTTCTTCCAAGCAGAGGTCATCTATCACTTTATGCCCCAAACCAACTACTGCCTTGTGGCAATATGATTAACCTAGTAAATAAATGGCCATAATGGCATTTTTAGATAACAATGATAATAAATGCACACACATTTAGACAAACACGTAATAACAAGGCTTTCATGCGACACACACGCTAACAGCAACAGTTTTGTGGGTCATTGTTTTTCAGTGAAATTGAGAGAAAAACAAACAAACAAAAATGAACAGTACTTACATCCACACTGAGTCCTTTGATTGTGAACACCTGTATTCTCGGCCTGTCTTGGGCACATAGCGCAGGAACTCGATGCCATCTTTGAACCATTTGACGCTGTACAGCTGGTCCCTCTCCAGGTCGTAGCTGCATTCGAGCGTCACTGTGTATCCGCGAATCGGCGACACGGGAGCCTTCAATTCGATTACCCTCAGTGATTCCGCCGGGGCAGCAGCGTCTGTGACAAATGGCCATCACAACTGTTGATCTCTGTACACGTCGCTGGTCAAATAGCATCGTACGTAGTCAGTTTGTGTGCAGTCAGCACTACTACTAGTAGTAATATTGTCACGTAAGAGTGAGGGTAGCCCAAAGACAGGAGACCGGGAGGCTAGTAGAAATAGAAGGAGATCCGTTTATTTGGCGGACTTGCGCCCACTAAAGGAAAACAGACACATCGGCTTAGCGGGTGGCGAAAAGCGTGTTCGACGGCCGTCGGGGAACAGAACGTCCCACTGGATCGCAAGGCGCGTTCGCCATCCGAGATACAGTCGCCGTAGCGTCTGGCGCTATCTCGTTACCAACGAATGGTCGACGTGCGGGCCATGATCTTCGCAGATGAATCGCGGTGCATCCTGGACTACGATAAGGCCGCGTGCCGGCGGTATCGGCATGCGCAACACTACCGCAATACGCCTCGCGGCATTGCTCCCCTCCTCAACGCAAGCATCGACCCGATGCTTTGTTTAAAATAAAACCAAAACAAAAGGACAGCCTGTGCGAAGGTAAATGTCAAATAAGCACGAATCACGCACACATAAATAAAACAAGAGATGCAAACAGGGAGCCTCCTTTAGCGTGCATGATAAGGCTTCAAACGAGCCCCGCCGCGGTGGTCAAGTGGCTAAGGTACTCGGCTGCTGACCCGCAGGTCGCGGGTTCGAATCCCGGCTGCGGTGGCTGCATTTCCGATAGAGGCGGAAATGTTGTAGGCCCGTGTGCTCAGATTTGGGTGCACGTTAAAGAACCCCAGGTGGTCGAAATTTCCGGAGCCCTCCACTACGGCGTCTCTCATAATCATATGGTGGTTTTGGGACTTTAAACCCCACAAATCAATAGGGCTTCAAACGGGCGACGTGTACCACTTCTTGTCGTGCGCGGCGTCGTTGGGATGAGCTAGCCCCATCAGGGACCACTTCATAGTCCACTTCACCCACTTGGCGGATGACTTTGTATGGGCCGAAATAACGGCGCATGAGTTTTTCGCTTAATCGCGGCGGCGAACGGGCGTCCAAAACCCAGACTCTGTCAACTGGCCTATATGTTAAATCGCGTCTCCGCAGATTGTAGCGTCTTGCGTCGTTTCGCTGTTGGTAATTTATGCGCAGACGAGCAAGCTGCCGGGCTTCTTCTGCGCGCTGAAGGTAGGCGGCCACGTCTAGGTTGTTTTCATCGGTGACATTAGGCAGCATGGCGTCCAGGGAAGTAACGGCATCCCTCCCGTGGACGAGATTAAATGGTGTCATTTTAGTGGTCTCCTGCACCGCGGTGTTGTAGGCGAAGACCACGTAAGGCAGAATGAAGTCCCAGGTCTTGTGTTCTGTGTACACGTACATAGCGAGCATATCGGCAATGGTCTTGTTCAAGCGTTCCGTGAGACCGTTTGTCTGCGGATGGTACGCAGTTGTTCTTCGGCGATCTGTATGACTGTAATTTAAGATTGCCTGAGTAAGATCAGCCGTAAACGCCGTTCCCCTGTCTGTTATTAGTACCTCAGGCGCGCCATGACGGAGGAGAATTGATTCGACAAAAAATTTGGCAACTTCTATGGCTGTGCCGTTCGGAAGGGCCTTAGCTTCAGCGTATCGGGTAAGGTAATCAGTGGCCACTATGATCCACTTGTTACCGGATGTTGACGTGGGGAAAGGTCCAAGCAGGTTCATACCAATCTGTTGGAATGGTCTCGACGGGGGTTCAATTGGCTTGAGAAATCCAGCTTGTTTTGTTGGAGGTCTCTTCCGGCGCTGACATTCACGGCAACTCTTGACGTACCGCGCAACATCTGAGGAGAGGCGGGGCCAGTAGTATCGTTCTTGAATTCTGTGGAGTGTGCGTGTACAACCGAGGTGGCCTGCAGTGGGTTCGTCATGTAACGCTTGTAAAATTTCTTCTCTGAGGCTGCTTGGGACGACAAGAAGGTAAGCTGCCTTATTCGGTGCGAAGTTCTTTTTAACTACCACCCCGTTTTGCACACATAAGGAGGATATCCCACGCTTGAACAGTGCAGGCGGCATGGAGGCCTTTCCTTCGATGTAGTTGATCAACTGTTGTAGGATCGGGTCTGAGCGCTGCTGTAATGCAAAGGTGCTGCTGCTGATAGGCCCAAGAAAGGCATCGTCGTCTTCATGGCTTGGTGGTGCGCCGACAGGGGCTCTTGAGAGGCAGTCTGCGTCGGAGTGCTTACGACCAGACGTGTAGACTACCTTCACGTCAAACTCCTGAAGCCGTAGGCTCCATCGAGCGAGGCGGCCAGAAGGGTCTTTCAAACTGGCCAACCAGCACAACGCATGATGGTCCGTTACGACCTTGAAGGGTCTGCCATACAAGTATGGGCGGAATTTCGAGGTGGCCCATGCTATCGCAAGACACTCCTTCTCAGACGTGGAATAGTTCACTTCCGCTTTCGACAGTGAGCGGCTTGCATACGCGATGACGCGCTCGCAGCCCTTGTGCTTCTGAACGAGAACGGCACCTAAGCCGATGCTGCTGGCGTCTGTATGTATCTCAGTTTCGGCATTTTCATCAAAGTGACCCAGCACAGGCGGAGACTGTAAACGTTGTTGAAGTTCTTTGAATGCCTCACGTTGCGCAGCTTTCCATATGAAAGGAGCGTCCGACTTGGTGAGCTGCGTCAAAGGGTCAGCAATGTGTGAGAAGTTCTTGACGAACCGCCGGTAATAGGCGCACAGTCCTAAGAATCGGCGCACTGCTCTCTTATCTTGCGGCTGAGGAAACTGTGCGATAGCGGCTGTCTTCTCGGGATCTGGTCTTACACCATCTTTGCTTATAACATGACCAAGGAACTGTAGTTCTGCATAGGCAAAATGGCATTTTTTTGTTTGCTTCAGTGTTAGCCCTGATGACTTAATTGCGTCCAGTACTGTCCGGAGCCTTTTCAGGTGGTCGCTAAAGTTGGAGGCGAATACGACCACATCGTCCAGGTATACGAGACATATTTGCCACTTGAGACCTGCCAGTACTGTGTTCATTAGACGCTGGAAGGTTGCTGGAGCGGAACAAAGTCCAAATGGCATCACTTTGAACTCATACAATCCATCCGGCGTGATGAAGGCGGTCTTTTCTCGGTCTCTTTCATCAACCCGAATTTGCCAATACCCTGTCTTCAGATCAATAGACGAGAAGTACCTTGCATCACTGAGACGATCTAGGGTATCGTCGATCCTTGGTAAAGGATACACGTCCTTCTTGGTTACACTATTCAACCGTCGGTAATCGACGCAAAACCGAAGACTTCCGTCTTTCTTTTTGACAAGGACGACTGGTGCTGCCCATGGGCTTTTCGATGGCTGAATTACATCGTCGTGTAACATTTCCTCAACTTGCTCTCGGATGGCCTGACGTTCACGTGCCGACACACGATAAGGGCTTTGATGGAGAGGGCGGATGTCTTCTTGTGTTATGATTCGATGCTTTGCCAGAGAAGTGTGTCGGACCTGTGAAGAAGTGGCGAAACAGTCGTCATAACGTCGAAGGAGGTTCTGGAGCAGTTGCTGCTTGCATTGAGGCAAGGAAGGGTTAATGTCGAATGACAGCTGCGAGTTGTGGGTCTGTGGGGTGATGGTCGCTGGATTCGAAAGGGCGAGGGTGTCACTGACTTCCGTGATTTCATCAAGAAAGGCAATGGTCGTGCCTTTGGCCAGGTGACGGTGTTCTTGGCTGAAATTCGTTAGCAGCACTGGGCCCTGTCCATTCCGGAAGTCCGCAATGCCTCTTGCGATTGCGATATCACGGCCAAGCAAAAGCTGTATGTTACCTTCGACGACGCCATGGGCATTTTCGGCAGTACCAGTGGTTACGGGGATTAGGGTCGTTGATCGGGGTGGGACGCTCACGTCATTTTCGAGCACACGGAGGGCTGCGCGATTATGTGGTGCCGAGTATGGATTTATGGCTTCATCCGAGGAAAGTTTCATGGATCTGGACGCCAGGTCAATAACCGCGTGATGTTGAGTCAAGAAGTCCATGCCGAGAATGACGTCACGGGAGCACTGTGGGAGCACCAAGAAAGTGGCAAGGTATGTGTGACCATCGAATGTCACTCTTGCAGTACATCACCCCGATGGGGTGAGGAGGTGGCCTCCCGCTGTGCGGATCTGCGGGCCGTCCCAAGCCGTCTTAACCTTCTTCAGTTGTGCTGTCAATGGCCCGCTGATGACCGAGTAGTCAGCTCCTGTGTCAATCAAGGCAGTTACCGGGTAGCCGTCGATAGATACTTCAAAATCGGTGGCACGTGGGCTGGAGTTGCGCGTTGGTTTTGGGTTCTGGTCACGGCTTCGTCTTGTTGCTTCGTTTTGCTTCGTCTCGCGGCTTGGGTTGTTGTGCGTTGTCGTCGTCGTAGATGATGTGCTGTCGTCATATATGGTCGTCGGTGGAGGGTCTTCGGCTTTTCCTCTTGAGGCAACCTCACCTCCAAAGGTTTCTGGCTTTAGTTTCCCCTACGGGGGCTTGGGGACCTTCTTCGTTCGTTGTTGCTGCGGTTCGGTGACGTGAAGCGTGGGGATGGCGGTGATGGAGAATGGCTGGACAAGTACTCTGTATGGCGCAAGTAGTCTTCGATTGCCGGAGGTCGTTGTCCAGGGCGTAGCCGTGGTGCCCGAGATGAGAATCCATGCAGTCCCATCCGCCTGTAGGGGCAGTGTCGAAGAATGTGGCCGGCCTCACCGCAGTGAAAGCATAGGGGACGGTCGTCGGGAGTTCTCCAGGTGTCGCATTTTCTTTGGCTCGGGCGTCTCTCGTATGTAGGGTGGGCGGGGAAGGGCGGACGGCTACTTGGGGCTGCAGCGTACCGTCGAGGACTGGGCTCGTTTCGTCGGGGTGGCTTAGTGTTCACTGCAGCGGCGTAAGTCATTGCTTCGGCCTCTGTTCGAGTCGTCGCTGATGAAGAGCCAAGCGCCTGCTGGACATCATCACGCGCTATGTCCAAGAGAGATGCTCCTTGGGGGGGCTGGGGGGTA